ATTGAGTGGTGTATAAGGTGCGAGTCAGGTGGCGGACTGTGCGGTAAAGTCTGATAAAACGTCCCAGCGGAGATCCCCTCCGCAGCGAGTGTCCTGGTCCGAAAGCATGAAGTCCGAGTCCCAATCAGATAGAGCAAGGTAACTGACGTCAACAGATTTGGCTTGAGGGGCCCTTTGGTCCCAGTGGAGTCAGAACCGGGTCCCAACCAACAAGAGTTCCACAAAGACCTACTATGTCCCTATTGAATTGAAAAACGAAATTTTGCCCCAGAAAGAACCTGTAGACTACCGCCGTTCAGAATGAAATAAACAAAGCACCGTAGAGAGATATCGCATGGCAAACAAGATACTCCATTCATTCACTCATCAGGTGAGTAGGTAGTTCACACACCTCACACACAATCAAGACTATGGAGGATGGAAGAAGAACCCAGAGAACCCCAACAGGCAGTCAACTCCATGCACACACACATGGGCACCCTGGTGGCACGACACTTACCTGAGTGGCCGGGCTCTTGAGATGAAAAGAACTCACCCCCCTCTCACATAGTCCTCCTGACCCAATTAGCATCCTCTACACTAGTGTCCTATCATCTAGGAGGGTCAACATCTACCCCAAAGTACACAGCCGGATCCCCCGTCAATGTTGAAGATCAAAGCAGCAACTTGCAGTCCGTAGGTCACGGTAGGTGCAGATATGGCTGCCACCCTCAAGCTCGCCTACTTGAGGGGAACCCTAAAGTCACTCCTCGTCTTCCTTGAAGTCCAGATTCAAGTTGTAGGTGCCCTTCACTGTCGCCTCTCTGAAATTGCATCACGAAGTCCCACCTTGTGTCTCGCCACCACAAACATGCACTCAAACAACCTGGCCGGGTCTAGTGTCGACCCTACACGGCCCTGCCAGGTGGGAGCAGCTTCCCTTTACCACGCTGCCCCACTTAACCCTAACTGGTTAGCCCTTACCACTAGGGTTAGGGTTATGGCAGCAAAGTCAACTCTCGCCAACAAGTAGAATCCGCTCTGATACCAATGTTACGATCCTGGCCAATTTTGAAGTCCACAATCATCAGAAAGTACAATGTTGTCCAATTGCGAAAAGAAATGAATGAACTTGAGACCAATGCC